CTAGGTGCATTTAAACGTGATTCATGTAAGTTGATTTTTCTGAGAGATAAACTTTTTTAATGTAATATAAATTGTCATGTTTGTGTACAATAGCGCAACAAATAAATATTGTATTCTACCACATACATGATAGTTCTTTTATGCTGATAATTAAAGCAATTCGTGCAAAATTATTCCCTAACCATCCCAAAATATCAAAAGTGCACAACGTTAATATTCAAGTTTTCACTTCTGCCGGCACTCCCGGAGTGCAACCCGTCGTTTTTATTTTATTATGTAAAGGAATGACTTTTTTCTTCATGTAATCGTACACTACTTACATCACGTTTCCCAGGCAAACTAGGTAAGGTCAAAATACGCATATAGGTTAGGCGTAAAGGGAAAAATTTGCGAACAATTCCTTCATGATTCAATAAGGGAAATTGTAGGGGGTTTTTCAAATGTTTGTTTCCAGATCTATAGCGTAAACTACACTCGCATTTCATTCACAAATTCGTTGCGTTTACATAATATAATCTTTACTCTGAAACCGCATAAAATAAAACGTTGCGGTTGACAAAATAACTATGCTTAACGTATTTGTAGTTTTCGGAGATTATATATAGATTTTCGAAAGTAAATCAATAAGTAATTTTTAAAGTTTTTACTGTAGAATCTTACTATGTATTGCGGTTTATGAGAAACAACTTGCTAACCTTAGCATACAGACGGAGAAATTAAAGAAGTATCTATACAGTGACACTAATTATAAGTGATAAGATTTAACTGGCTTCAACGGTATGGAATCCGCAATACTTAACACACATAAGCGCGATAGAAATACTACAGAATAAATTCATTAGAAGGATGAAATACAAAGGACATCGACGAAATCGGCCCTAGCATGCCCAATAGAATGTCCTTAACTATTATTTTTCTAATTGTTTTTTAACTTATAAGCAATTAATCATAGTAAACGGACAATCTGTTTGAAAAAATAAAAAATAATGCAATATGGACGACCAATGCGACCATAGGTATTTATCAACATAAAAATAGAACTAGGTACCTTAGTTCATAATACTTATTACTAGTATTTATATTATATTTATAAAAAGATTATTTCTGAAATTATGAAAAGATAGTTTATACTCCCATCCCATGTAATATCTGTTTATTTTTATGAAAATCGTAATCATAACCAGGTACTTACCTAATTACCGATGGTAAAATATAGAAACAGGTAAATGGAAAGACTTTGAACATTTCATTTGAAAATAAATCTATTATTACAACAGGTAGGGTTGTATAGGTATAGGTATCATAGGTGCCAACTGCCAACACTCATAAATCAATATGAATATAAGCATTTATTATTTTTATTATTAATTGTATTTTATGTTCATTTAATGCATATTACTTAAGTGCTTACATAGAGGTAAACACTAAATCTATTCAGAACATATTATAAAGTGTACATACATCTTTTACGATTAGGTAATAATTATAACCTCAAAATCTAATACATTCTGTAGTAGGCCACGGTTCCTCAAGTTGTCCGTATCTCAACAAATGCCTAATTAGAGTTAATGAATGATTCCGAACACAACTAGCATTTTCTCATTGCTGTGCGTTCTAGGGCATTCAATGTATAGGGAACGAGCAATGTCCTTTAATGTTTTTTGTGAGGATGACGTGCGATCCCTGGCACACCGAAGAGAGTGTAGAGACTTGGTCTTGCTTCACAAGGTTATAAATGGTCTTGTCGATTCTCCATATCTGTTGAGTAAAATTTTGAAAAAATGTCCAAGAGCAAATTTACGAGCACGTGATACGTTTTGCATTCCGGCAGGTTGGACTAATTATGCAAGTAATCGCTACAATATGCTAGCTATGAAATCATACAACTCTAAATATAGTGACATTGATATATTTAATCTTAATTCTTTGAAATTCAAAAAACTAATTTGTAACTCGTTTTAGGCACAACATTTTTATTTCTTTTTGTTTTGTTTATGTTCATTATGATGTCAAAAATTGTTTCTTTTTTCTCTCATGTTTATTAGACACTATGTGAGGTAAATAATAGTGGAAAATACTCAGGCAATTGTTAAACTTAATGTTATATTTTTTATGTGAAAATTAATGCTGTTATTTCCCTAAAAATAAATAAATAAACTAACTTCGATTTTTGAAGTTATACTTCTTTAGGCGCGTTATGCAAAAATGATGAGAGATGAGAGTGAAATTTTAAGATGCGCGCGCATCACTGTAACACAAAAATTAACAGCATGAAGTTGGTGCTGTTACCTTTGTGTTTACCGCACATTAAGAAAATCTACCAACAAAATAGAAATAGAATCTCTATTTAGTGGGTGCTAACGACTGCATTGTGAAGGCCTATCAAAAGTATTTATTAATCTGGAACAACGGAACCAAAGCGCGATTCAGGAGACTACAGCGCCATCTCTTGACCATTGGTGTAGTAGAACCAAAAACCACATCTTTATTTTTTGTAATAAAGTAACAGTTATAGGTATTCATATTTATAATATTTATCCACATGTTTCTAGTTTGTATATTCGGAATACGTGTTTGAGTTTCATACAAGTGCAAATCACATATGTTCTAATAAATTATATTCAGTAGCGATTTTAATTGAATATTTTGATTATTTATTTATTTTTTCAAATTAAAACTGAACTTTATTGACTGTGTCCTTTTCCAGACTTTTTATTAATTTATTGTAATTAATTATTTGCATGCAATTAAAAACTAATTTTAAACGATGCCAAAGAAGGATAACTTCTCACGCGCCTACATAAGTACACGCACCCATTTTTTTGGCCTGAGAGAGACCACTTGTATTTACAAATTAATCGTGAAATGACGTGACGAGTACATAAACATTGTACTGTACAATACATTACGATATACCATATTCGTGTGGAACATTGCTAGATAACCCAGCCGGCAACGTTAATGCGTCCTTGGAAGTAACAAAAGGTTTGTTATAATGCTGTAGGTTAGAGTACCAGCTACGTACGTGCGCGAATTGTTTTCGCAAACGTTAAAATATAGCTTATACTTGTACACAATAATACAGATTGAACAGTTTCCAGTTTGTAGAGAAATGAAACTTGATAACATTGATGGTGGAGTGCCTGGGAGTTTATACCTCGGATTTTTGTAACAGTAAATATTTTTTTATGATTGAAATGGAATGTTGTTATTTTTACTATAAAAAATGGTTGCCTGTAAAGTCGGTTTTACGGGCGAAGATTTTACGTGACAACGTCTTTTTCTCGGTAGAATATTTATTGATATGAATATAATTAAATTGCACAATAGGAACAAGGAATTGAATGAAAATAAGAATTGCACAAATTTTAACTATAGAAATATATTTTGTTTACTAAAACATTGTACATGTAAACTTAAACTTAACACGAGAGACTCATCGTAACGTTACCGAGCGTTACACTTTTTCATAAGTGACTCCCAGCCGCAACCTAATTTAAGACGTTGTCACGTCAAAATTACAAAGTTTACCTACATTTTTTTTGTGCTTTTAATTTTTTTTAGACCAAAAAATGCAAACAATTCATATTCGAGCATACGTATATAATTCTACATAAAATACTATTTTTTTCATGTATACGTTAGATTTCATCTAAGTAGACATAGATTACATAAATGAACATCTCTCAAACATAGCTGAGTGTGTGGTGTAGGTGGAGGGAAGAAAGGCAGTAACGCTAGTATCATTTTTCCCAAAGGTTGACTAGGAGAGAATGCTTTTAGCATTAAGTCCGCCTTTTGCACCAATGTTATATATTTTGGTCAGTAAAGTTTAAATATAAATAAATAGATAAAGAAATCGAAGGTAGCTCGACAAAAGTAAATAAAAAATCATTATTCTGACGATGCAGACCTGAAAAGGCTGCGAAACGTCAATAAATAAATAAATAAATTTTCGTGCATTAATCAGTTAAAACTAGTTTTATTTAATGAGTGATGTGCGTGAAAACCTAAGAAACAAAAATGATGAAAATAATTATCATTACCAATAAACGTTTTGAGATTTCACAGTTATATCTGAAGTATTTGATACCATGTCTTCCTCCTGTTTTCTTTCATGACTAAATAATATTTCAACTTTGCTCCTAAGAGGAATTTAGAAACAACTAAATAAATAATTCAGTTTATAAACAATGGCACCATTGTCATGTAATTACCGACTTCCAAGTAGATACGGCGTTTTCTCAGAAATAAAGTAACATGACTACAATAGTAACAATATCCCTTATTAATCTTTAGATTTGAGAAAATAAATAGCCTAACTTTGATTTATGACTAACTTTTTTCAAGTGAAACTTCTTTTCGAACGGGTACATGGAAACATCCTATGGAAAAGATGAAACGGAAATACATCACGAGCGTCACATGACTATATATATATATATATATGTCGGGGGGGGGGGGGGGGGGGGGGTGCGTGCGCTTTTCCTGACGAGCATCAAAATTGGACGACAACTCGGAGAAGGCTGAAACGCTACAGGCGTCACGAGCGGCCCACGCGACAATATGTTGTACCGTTTCGTGTTGAGACTATGGGTCTATGGAGTCCAAGCGCTCGTTCCCTTTTTAAGGAATTGTCAAAGAGGCCGAAGTGACTGGTGATCAAAAAGCTGACAGCTACCTTGGTCAACGGATCAGCATTGCCATCCAATGCGGCAATGCTGCCAGCCTATTGGGCACCATTCCTGATGGCGGCGCTGGGGGTGATATGTTTTTTATTTTGTAAATTATTTATTTATATATAGTACGTTAAGCTATATAGTTTTTATGTTTCTGTTATTTTAATGTATTATATTCATTTAAACACAATATCATAGTAGAAAAAAATAATTCAATAGTTATTTGAGTAGCCGAAACTCCTCTAAAGCGAGTAACTATATTCATATGAATATTATAATACTTAATGGCTAAAAAGCATAAAAATTATTTTTATCTCAAGAAAAGGACACCCGGCATTTTGTGCCAAAGTTGTATACTTATTTAATTTTTTTATCTGTGTTTCATAATTGGGTAACGTAGTCTGGCAATATTTGTCATCAGCAGCTAGCTGTCAATGTCAAATACGTAGGTTTGTCAATATAACCTCTATATGTAGCCGGGTCGTCAAGAGAAATAACGGATAAAAAGGCAATCACAGCAGAGAACATTCACAATCACAGTTCGCGGGAGTGGATGCGAAATGCGAATGATTTTTTTGTTTGTATTTTAGGATTGTCAAATTGACATTTGGTTTTTTATTTAGAAAAAGCAAAGGAATCATGGTTTTTACAGTCACTTGAGTAATATTTTGAAGTAAGATTCTGTCCCTTGAAGATTTAGGGTTTCCATATCAAAAAATATTAATCATTATATAACTTCTTTCCACGATTCACTAAAAATAAGGCAAAAGTAGTTTTATTTAGCAAATAATTTTGGCTTTATTTTGAGACCAAATTCAATCGTATACAAGTTTAGCATTTTTTCTATGAAAAGTGCCGGGTCTCCTTTACACACATTACATAAATATGAGTTTAGTAACGCAGTCGACTCTCGTGGTTACTCCTTAGACTTCAATGCTTGATCTATAAACAAAATAAAAAAAAAATCTACTCAAATTGGCACCTAATGTTAACTTCCAATTTCTCTACAATAATGTCATAGTTATTTAAAACAAGGTAAGTACAGTTAATTCTCATACTAGTCTAAAATCAAAATACCATTGACACAAGAAAAAAAACCATACCAGACACCACATACGTCACAAGCCCAACGTAAGATCACCCAGCGCTTACCCATAACGCCACGCTGATTCACACTGTATATGGCCATCAGGCATTTATAAATCGCCCAAGTGACGCAACGTATCATTGAATAGCTAGCAACGAACGTAAACAGTCCACCCAGCGTAAACGAAAATGGCGTCCGCACTCAAACCTATAACTACAATCCTGAACATCATCCAGACCTTGCTGAGTGTCGTCTTAGCCGGCGTATCAATCTGGTTCTTCATCGAGCTCAAGAACTTAACGGACATGAGGAGCCGCGACAAAGACCGCCTGGACTTCAAATTTTATTGGCCCCAATGGCTCCCGTGGCTGATCCTCGTCATATGTGTGATCGTGATGTGTGTTTCCTTGTGCGGTTATTACGGCGTCTGCAGCGGCAGAAAAGATGCCCTTGTGACTTACGTAACTTTCTTGTCCATCGTGACGGTAGCCGCTTTCGCCGTTGGAATCTTGGGACTGGTCTGCGGCGACACCAAGTCCTCCGACGACTTCGTGACTAAAGCCGTCCAGGACGCTCATAACCAGTTGTCGAACAGGCAGGATGTGCTGATGGCCTTCAGCTCCATCGAGAGCAGATTGAGATGTTGCGGTGTAACTGGTGCTTCTGATTACACGAAAATGAAGATCCCCGACTCCTGCTGCGATAGATCCGAACTCGTGGATTGTGAGACTTCCGCCAGTAGACGATTGGGATGCGTTGAAGTGATCGTGCCTTATTCAAGGATGTTTGTCAGATACACATCTATTGGCACCATAATAATTGGTGTCGTTTGTCTGGCAAGTTTAATCGTAGCACTTTTCCTTGTCCGATCAAGTAGGAGTAAAAAGGATAGATTAAAATCGGAAGCTGAGAAAGAACCGCTGAAATTACCTTTATAATTGTTTAGGTTTCGTAGAGTATGTGTTCCAATTCGTTTTGATGTCATTCTATTTAATTGATGAATGTTATGTTGTACAAATTGTAAATATTTGAGCGTCCGTGTTAGCAGTTGGTTGTAATTGAGAATTATTGTGTGTGCGTGTGTTTATGTGTTACAAGTTGCGTAATGTATCCGTTCTCATTAAATAATAGTGATATATAGGGCATTTAATTCTTGTTTGCATGTTATTATTTATGTAAGGTAAATATTAATATTGCATTTACAGCTGTTCAGGAGTATTGTAACAGTTTTTTGTTTTTCTCATACCAAAAAGTATTTTATGTCTAAATAAAACTAGGTTTAGCGAATTAAACAACTGTGAATCTATGTATTATTGTTTTAAGCATACCTTATAAGAAGTCCTCGAAAATTTACAAGATTTAATGTAACAGTTACGTGATTCATGCATTGTTAGTTGTTTAATATTAATTTTGATACTTATTGGAGTTAAAACTTTTATTAATAAGTTAATTTATTTATATATTTACAAAACTTTGCAAATAACACAATAAAAATAATCAGAATATTTTGATAGTTTAATTCTACTGTTTTCTGTCATTTAGTCCAATCCATAAAAAACATGTCAATTATATGACATAAAACAATGAGTTCCTACTATAAATTATGGAACACATTAATTTCTAATTAATCAATATTTTCCTATATTATATAATATATGTATTAAATCATTTAATATATTTTAATTTAATAAAATCAAGTGATCAATTCAGGTAAACACTATTTGTAGGTACATATCGGTTTTATCTCATTAATAGAAACGAAATTTTGGATTGCCTCAGGGTCCAATACTAGGTCTTTTATTATTTTAAATCAAAGTAAATTATAACTCTATAAATATGAGTTTTCTTGTAACATTTACTATCTGCCTAGAATTCGGTATATCTTTATTTATTTCTAATAAAAATAACTCTTGATCTATTAGGATTCCGAATAGAAGTAAGTGGGCACTAATTTGTTTAAAAAAGTTACTGAAGTGAAGCTAACATTTGTTTACGAAGATTATTTTTTTGACATTGACTTTGACTCCATGCACAAAATACTTCAGTTCGTTCTGTGATGCATTCAACTGATTCAGGCAACAATAACGAATCACATAACAATTGACTTTAAAATGTTAAAGGTTAAATACGCCGCCATTTTATGTTCCGGAATGTAAGTTTCGCCGTTGTTTGTGTATGACACGAAAATGTTTGTACAAACTTCATTGATGGACTTGTAACATAGAGCAAATTTCTTTTTAGTGGTATTTTGGAATTGAATTGCCATTTCAAGATTTCAATACAAAAATAATGATTTATTTATAGTAAATTTTCTTACATACAAACTCTTTCCTCAAAATTATGCACACAACCAAAAAAAAAACTGCAAAAAAATTGTATTTTATTTAGTAAGAAGAGTCTGTGCGGAAAGAGAATGGGTGTGGTGAAAAACGGAACTAACCTTGAGATTTTTATTTGGCAATCAAACCCAGCAATCTCTAAAACGTCAAAGATTTGTATTGATACGGATTTGTTTGTTGTTGTGATTTCTTGCGGTTTTTTGTATTCAATCATGTCTAAAAGGGGTAAAACCTTACAAATACGGTAGAAAAGCACTACAGCGCCCTCCAATCTAAATCCCATTCGCTTTCCGCACAGACTACCTAACTTTTATCTCGAATTCAACTGCGTATTTCCAAAAATATAGTTAAACTAAAATTCATTCATTTTCGACGGTTTTTGTATCACCTTATGTTATAGGTCGGCTATGGCTATAGCTTGGTAGGGTTTTTTTAAGATAGTTTTTAACACACACAAGCAAAGTACCTCTACTTTTTAATATTAAAAAAAGACAATATTTTGACCATGGAACCTAACTGGAATAGAAATTAATCTGCTACCTCGCGTATAATATCACTGTAACTAACAAGGGCGGATCCAGCTTTGGCAGAAGGGGGGGGGTCATATAGTCGTGGTCACAGGTCGTGGTCAAGTCACAGTGGGTACAGATGGACCCAGCCCGGGGGGGGGGGGGGGGGTCATCACCCCCATGACCCCCCCTCTGGATCCGCCCTTGGTAACTAAGTGGGTGATGTTTGCATTTTGTGACTAGAATGTCCGGACTTTTATCGTAATTTTATTTTATTTTTATTTTATTTTATTTTATTAGGGACAACAAACAGTTGTACAATATATGTTTAGTGAAAGGCTTACAATTATGTTATACTTATTGTACAACCAACAACATTATCCACAGATTAATACTAGGATTGTTTTGTTTTATATATATTTCTATTATTCTTTTTCTATACTAAAAGAAAAATATTAAATGTCCGGTTTTTTGTCAGGACTTTTCAAATATTTTAATTTGTCCGGTTTTATTTAATTAGATGGAATATGAGTCAAACTAATTATTAACTTACATCAAATCAGTCAAATAATCTTTATTAAGTTCTCATTAATTTAAAACAAAATATTATATTTTATATTTAAATCCTTTAAAAATCCACAACGAGACCTCCCTCTTTGCATTTTGTGACTAAAATGTCCGGTTTTTAATCGAATCGACTTTTCAAATTTTTAAATAGTAACCCTAGCCGTTAAATTTTTAAATAGTAACCAGAGTTATCGACATAGCCCACCGGATTGGCAAGTTGAAGTGGCAGTGGGCTGGCCATATTTGTCAAAGAACCGATAACCGTTGGGGTAGACGAGTTCCGGAGTGGAGACCGCGTCTAGGCAAACGTAGTGTAGGACGTCCTCAGGCACGATGGAGTGACGATTTGCGCAAGGTGGCTGGCAGGAGCTGGATGCGAGTAGCCCAAGATCGATCTAAGTGGCGTGCATTTGGAGAGGCCTATGTCCAGCAGTGGACTATGATAGGCTGTTGATGATGATGATTGATGAACCCTAGCCGTGACCCAACCCTTACTAGTGTTATTTTCTGTGTTCTTCTGTAAGGTGGAGATTACTTCCCCAGACCGGCGATTCAATTCGAGCGGAAAGTCCGCTGTACCCTTAAAATATACATACACAATACTGGAACATTCCTAGTCACCGATTAACATCCCAATAGGGTACAAAATATGCTTCTATTTAATTGTTGTAGTAATTAAACCTAAATTATTGTCTGGACTTGCTGATATTGTCCTTATGAATGTGTTTTTTAGAATATAATAATTGTGAGGTGGTGGCAGAATACCAGCGACAAGTCAAAACTTGACTGTCACATGCTGAGTCACATACCATTTTGTTTTAATTAAAATTTACTGTCATTCTATTTGTGTATTGTACCAATTGTATGTTGAAACAAATAAATAATTTATTATTATTATTATTTGACAGTATTAAAAATAAAGTGCCAATTGGTATTATCTGTGTTTAGAATGAATATTGGCAGGGGTTTTTATTATTTAAAAAAAAAATATTCATAATTTTACTAAAAACCCACGAAAGAGATAATAGTTTTCTTATCTATTGTCACGTGACCAAAAACGCTTGGGATTGGCGGAGCCTAAAATGACGTCACACGCAAGTAAACTTCCGGTTAAAATGACATCACATTGTATCGTTTGACGTTTTAATAACAGTCGTGTGACGTCACACACTAGTAAGACGCCATATTGTCCAGAGAAACGTTTTAGCGGCAACTTGAAAATGGAGTCTTTGATTTGGTTATTTTTACTGAAACACACAACAGAATGATGAATATCCACTTTTTACGGACTCCTTAAAAATTAGTCAATAACGTGAGATCGTTTTCTAAAACTTGTCAAATACCCTATTGGACTTCCTTCTTCCTTGATAAGTACCCAAAGTTACTCTTCAGTATTGTGCCTCATATTTTGACGCATGACGCATCAGAGTGCGTCAAATACATTGTTTACGACCTTTGAGAGCGCATCTTCATGTACCATCGTGGCTTGAATCACCAACACTGGTCACTGATGGTCATTGTCAGATCATTAATGGACAGGAAATATTAATTTATATTCTTAGGATGTTATTACTGGTGTCACGTCCTCTTTTAACTGCTATCGTGTAGACTATCTCATATTGAAGTAAATCTTCAACTAGACAAATCTGCTTAAAGTATAATAATATGTATAATGTGAGTGGGAATCGCTCACCGAAGGTTCTGTACAAAGTTGTAGGTACGCAACTTAAACAGCTGAATTTTTATTTTAAGTTAACTTAGAAGTTTTTTTTTTTACAGCTTCAAGAGACCATTGATCTGAGTCATCATCATCATCATCTTCAGCCTATTAATGTCTCCACTGCTGGGGCACAGACCTTCCCTATGGAGGGAATAGGGAGATTGGGCCATGACCCACCACGCGGACCCAGTGCGGATTGGCGGCTGCTAACGACTGCAGATGCAGCCGGGACCAACGGCTTAACGTACCTTCCGAAGCACGGAGGAGCTCGAGTTAGTAAATTTTTGGTCACCCATCCAATGACCGACCACTGCGAAAGTTGCTTAACTTCAACTATCGTAGCCGAACGAGCTAACCACTTGCGCCATCGAGATCCTCTATCCTTGATCTGAGTAAATGGTTTAAATTTCAACCTGATACCTCCACGCGTTACCGAGATAAGGAGTCTTGACAGACGGACAGAATGACGACAAACTGATCCTATAGGGGTTCCGTTTTTCCTTTTGAAGTACAGAACCCTAAAAACAGCTTCCGAAGGTTCTTTTCAATATAAAGTTGGGTTTCCTGACTTGGATTTGCGAACCGATGGTGTAGTGTTTCGTCATTCACAATTAGTGATTGTAACAACTTATTAGATGATCAGTTTGAATTAGATATTTTTGAAATTGAAACTTCTTAAAGGGTATTTGTTTCTTGTGTTTTCACGCACATCACTCATTAAATAAAACTAGTTTTAACGGGTTAATGCACGAAACTTTATTTATTTATTGACGTTCGACTAGCTACCTTATAAAGACTTTTATTGAGCTCAATCTTTCGAAGGTAGCTCGACAAAATTAAATATAAAATCATTATTCTGACGAAGCAGACCTGAAAAGGCTGCGAAACGTCAATAAATAAATAAAGTTTCGTGCATTAACCCGTTAAAACTAGTTTTATTTCTTAAAGGGTGTTACCCATTTTTGGGGTGGGAAATACCCGCCACTATTACTTGTCCTATCTTATCCTTACCTAGCTTATGAACAGAATTACGTGCCTTTCGAACTACGGAAGAGATTTTTGGTCTCCCATCCCACGTCCGACCATTGGGCAAGTTGCTTAATTTTCATGATCGCAGACAAAACACGATAACCAATACGTCGACAAAGATTTTAATTAAAATATTATTATATGTTTTGAATCATTTAATGATAGCCGTTGGACAAAACAGGTTGGGTGTAAGGGACCTTGATACTGAGCAGTCACCATGAGAGGAAAAATAATTTATTGTACATTCAAGGTCCAACAAAATAAAGATCAGAATGATATTGGTCAAATTAAAGGTTTACCATTAGAATTCAGACTACTAGACTAGACAAAGACAACACATCAATTTTCTATATATATTTGTTTCATTTACTCAAATCATTGTGGCATTTTTATCAGGTTGAAAGTTGAAAGGTATTCTATTCGAAATTGATTGCACTGAAAAAATACAACACAAAAGTTCTAAACTTTAATATTTGATTTCAAAATAAACTTAATTTTGTTATCCCAATTCCATGTAGAAAGGGTTAATTCTATGTTTATCCATGTACGAAACGAGAACATTGTATGAAACGCAGGGCCGTATGAGCAAGTATAGCTGGGGCGAAAAGACGCCTCGAGTTTTGGGGCCCCGTTCTTATTTTTTGGGTAGTCTTTAGGACTTCGTCCATAACCTAACATGGAAAGGAGTAAACTAACATCGGCGAAAAAATAACTACTATAGGAAATTACCGTAAGATACTATCATAGTGGGAGAAAATTACCATTTAAACCACCACAGGTGGAAGGGCAACTGTTATAGAAAACAAAATCTTGCCAAGACCATAATAATCTGCTGCAATGACGTATTTAAAAATTTAAAAATTCCGCTGTGTCGGAAAAATCTTTCACTTTTTTTCGCCTAGCCTTTGTTGCCTTTGTTTTTCTTCCAATAATGCCGCTGTAACTAGAAGAAAAAATATTTAACCGACCAATTTATTTTTTTAACTTCCTACGGAGCCCCAAGGCAACGCAGGGCGCCTATGCTCCATTTGGCTAGTATGCATGAATACGTCCCTGGCAACCGGAAAAAACGTTGAAGCAAAAGCGCACACAAAATGAACGTTACAATTTGACCAAGGCGCGCTCGGAACGGCAATTTGTTGTTAACAGGAATCATCTTTTGCGTTGCTCTCACAAAACATCAGGAGTTAATAGTTATATGGAAATGATTACTTTGCACAACAATTGAATGTTGAAATATTATGCTTACGCTGAAATACTTTTAAACGTTGCATCGATAACAGTTAAACACATTCTGTGATAACCATACGCGGAGAGAATGAAAGAAAGGAAGATAAGGGTTAAATTGGCCATCAGGCTGTTATAAAAAAATATAAAAAGGCATATGTGAGTGTTGTGGAACACTCGGTTGGAACGAAGTTAAAAATAAACATAAGTTTAAGTACACAACTACATACAATAAAAGACATGTTACACTTTTTTCGCCTAGCGAACAATAACAGAACATATTTGTTTCTTAGGTTTTCACGCACATCACTTATTAAATAAAACTAGTTTTTACGGGTTAATGCACGAACTTTATTTATTTATTGACGTTTCGCAGCCTTTTCAGGTCAGGTCGTCATTATTCTGACGATGCAGACCTGAAAAGGCTGCGAAACGTCAATAAATAAATAAAGTTCGTGCATTAACCCGTAAAAACTAGTTTTATTTAATAACAGAACATTTACATAAAAGTAGAGAAGACTATTACGAGAACGCAAATCAGGACCCGACGTTAGCTTCCACACCAGTATTCTGCCTCTTGTTCGAAGATGCTATTAAAAAAGTGTATTTTATAACAAACGGATGCACATCTAATGTTTCGAATTGTTTAAAGTTGCCATTGTTGGGAAAAGGTTTGAAATTGATTCCTTAGAACTGCTCTTTGCTCTATATTTGATAAGCCTATAAGTACTTGTCATAACATCAAAGCAATTATTTATTCTGGAGCTCAACTGATAATTAAGACATCAAAGTCTGCTCGAAAACACTTTTAGAATAATTTTATATTATATTAGTATTAATTGGTATTCTCTTCGCGTGTTTGTTATTACAGTTAAACGTTATTACGTATACATTATGGGTCGCCAATTCGACTTCCGTTCGAATCAAATCAGTGGCAATTAATATTAAAGGCAGTACTTAGGTTTGTAGCAGCTGTTACAATGTCAAGACTCCAGCCACTATGAGTCAAGTAGTCCTTAATCACCTAATTTAAATTAAACTAGCGATTCGCCACGTCTCTCCACGTGTTTATCATGGAAGAATATGAGAAATGACGAGATTTGATTGCGACATAAAACACGTTCCCGAAATTGTTTCTTTTTTCTGTCATCTTGTAAACTATAATAATGACAGATCACAGGGTGTTCTTGCCTGGACTTGCGACCGGTTCTTGTGTTTGTTTTTGGGCCATTTTTTCTTTTAGGAATCTCCTATAAAGGAAGTATATAAATAAGTTTCTTAACTTATAAATAGGTGGATAAAATCTTAAAAAGCCGATCTTAAGTCATGGCGCAATGGAGTGATGAACGACGTGTCCTATATATATATATATATATATATCATGGTTTTTGGTTTATTCACAATGTGCACGCTATTCCTGTTTTAAAGTACATGGGGATTTAAAAAAGGGGTGTGGAAGCACAAAAGCTGGAAACGCTAGGGTGGCTTGTTGGACTCGTATAATTATAACATTATCTATGTTTACATCTTGACTCGACATAATTCGGATTATGATATCAGGTGGGGTTAAAGAATTAGCTCAATTAAAAATACTTTTATTTAATATTAAGAAACCATATCCGGAATCGGGGCGTATTTTTTTGTATTAAATCGGTTTCTGTCTCGAAATAGTAAAGTTTACTGTTACCGAAAGAACGGACAAACAATCATCTATAGTTATTTTAACAGTATTTTTTTCACAAAAACTTAAATGTTTAAAATCCTACTTTAGATTACAGTTGAATGTGCTCAGGACGATAAGAAAAATATCAAAATTTTGTGAATCACACACTTGCACAAACAAAATGAAATGAAAATGATGTTTATGTTAAACAAATAGGTAAGTGTTTAAGTAGGTATAAAAATATCCAGTAATTAAAGCTGACATTAAGATCAGTGACGTGAGAAGACATAGTTTTAGTATGACTCACGACAATGTTCAAGATATTAGGTATGCAATAACATATTGGAAATTACAACTTGCAGTTAAGTTTTGTAATATAACATTGTTTATTAGTATTAACAATTTCACATCATAAAACTATAAAATACACTAACTATAAACAAATAAGTCTCTATATATTATTATCTGTATATTTAGTTATTAATTTTATTTTTTAAGGTTTTTAGTTTTAGTTTTATTGTTCTAGTATTTATATTTTACTTATATATAGTAATTATGTAATTAGATATTTAACAATTACAACATTATAATTCGCAATCCCTTTAATTATGTAGAATAAGAATTAATATTTATATGAATCATTGTTTATTTGATTAAATGTTTAACATCCTATTCCAGAATCATGTTGAATCCAAACAACATACATACTTGTTTACCTAATTATTTGTCGCTAACTTGGGTACCACCCAAAATTATCTGTCGAACGCGTAATAAGAACAAGCATAATTTGTCCGTTTACTAGGAAACAGGCGTACGTTATTCAATGAGTCATACGAAGAAGTCTTCGAGCAGCCGTGGTTTTATACTAGAGGCCGAGCTAAGTTACGCCATTCGATTCTGAGCAGCGTAGCAATCGCACGCATACACGAAAATGTCGAAGTCTTGCGCGTACGCCGTGAACATTATCCACGCCGTGTTGGGCCTGATCCTCGCCTGCACCGGTCTATGGCTCTTCATCGAAGTGAACAGCATCACCAGCCTGAGGAACAGCAACCACTACCTCCTCGACTACAACCTCTACTGGCCCCAAGTCATCCCCTGGCTGTTCATCTTGATCGGAGTGCTTGTGATTTTCGTTGCGTGCTGTGGTGTGTTCGGTGCTACGAAGAAAAGTAAAGGATTGGTTTTCACCCACATAGTTTGCATATCCATGACAGTGCTCTTGACCCTGACGGTGGCAATAGTAGCTTTAGTGTTCGCGAATAGTAAATCGACGGAGAATTTCATCAAAGACACAGTATGGGATGTATTTTTCCAAACGAAGACGGACACGGAAGTGGCTGACGCGTTCGGAAGGATAGAGAAAAGAATGCAATGTTGCGGCGCGGAGAGCCCCAGGGATTACGTGAACTGGAAGGATGACTTCCCGCAGTCCTGCTGCGATACATACTACCATGGTTGGCTGGAACCTTACACTGTGGATTGCGAAATCACAAACAAAAGGGCTAACGAGAGGCACGGCTGCTCCAGTGTCGCGACGCAGTACATCCGAATTGCCGTTTTTGTCTTATCAGGCGTGTCGATATTGACTTCATTGTTAGGCTTGGCAGTCCTCGCGAGCGCAGTGAGTGTCTCTAAGGCTTTGAGGCCAAAACCAAGGAACGTGACGGCTAAATACGAATCGGAGAGCAAAAAGGTCTTGTTGTAATTCTCGATTGTGAGAGGTTTTTTCCTCTTTTGTTACTCGTGTCTTTTGTAGGTCATGCGACCTACGCTGAGGGCTTGTGTTGTGTGAAGTGCGAAGTTTTTACATTTTCTCGTTTGTAGAAAATGACTAACTTCGCTAATGTAACAGACGTTGAAGGTTTCTATTGACTGATTTACATACGCTAGATAATTCTACGGTAGGTACAGTGAGAGTTGTCAAATGTCTCTTCGCTAAAGATGGGTGTTTGTCTTGTGTGTTAGTTACCTATGTTCTGAGAGATGATTTTATTTTTAAGCATTTAACATTTAAAAAAATGAAACGAGTGGGATTTTGTCTAGTAATTTTTTTCTACAAGAGTGTTATGACATCTAATTTTACTTTTTGTGATTCAGTCCCTATTGTTTTGTGTGTAAGTGATTATTTATTTCATTTAAATGAAATTGTATTTATTAGTTAAGAAGAATCTCCTTATTCTCAAATCTCGTTGTTTAAGTCGTCATCACAAAATCGTGTAGGAACTTACGAGGAAAATTGTATCTACGCGCCAAAGTATGGAATGGAAAATTCCTTGCTTACAAAGATGTTCTAGAATAGTTTGAAATGTGTAAAACAATAAGCGCTAATGTATTTCCTAACGATGATTTAATTACTAGAAATACCAGTATTTTAAACAATGGCAGAGAACAAACAAACTTAGCTTTATCACGTTATATGTTTGGTTTCGTTAATAACCTAAATGATAAATAAATGTAAGGTAAAGAAACCAGGGTAATGTAGTTATATTAACTAATTCTGATTGGTTCTTGAGTACAGTGTTTAAATCAGGATCTCGAATTTACTGGAACATTACATGTTTAAACAGTTTTATAGAGCTGTTTAATTTGTTCAATTCCAAGAGCCGTAAAGTATTTTCAACATTTACATGTTCTAAAGTCATTATAACCTTGACATTATAATTATGCTTTGTTAAATAGGTAATATTGTATAAGGAACAAACCAAAATAATTATGTAACGGTTACCTGAATCTATGTATCTTTAATAAGTGACAATTATTGTAAAATTATGTACAAAGTCATTCCGATCCCGCCTGTAAATAAAATAAACAGATCAAACGAATATTTATGATATTTTTATTTGGACATTTATGAAAAAACCCTGACTTAACTTAAGGTAAGTATGCTCGGAAAATTGTCTGAGACGCAAACAAGTAAGTATGACTCAGACAGAGTCGGAGGTTGTAACGGACAACTAGTAAGATATACTTAGGTAACTAAAGATTTGAGTCATTTCTGTGAATAAATAAGATATATTTGATATGACGCATTCAATCTTTAGGTTAGAAATAGTTTTTTTTTTAATAAAACCAGCACTTATTTGGTCATGTTACAAATCGCTTTATATTTAAAATTAATTTGAAAAAAGCTATTGTGATTTAGAAAAAGTTCTTTTAAAACTTTTTTGAAGTGCTTTTTGACGTGACAACGTCTTAAATTAGGTTGCGGCTGGGAGTCACTTATGAAAAAGTGTAACGCTCGGTAACGTTACGATGAGTTTAAGTTTACATGTACAATGTTTTAGTAAACAAAATATATTTCTATAGTTAAAATTTGTGCAATTCTTATTTTCATTCAATTCCTTGTTCCTATTGTGCAATTTAATTATATTCATATCAATAAATATTCTACCGAGAAAAAGACGTTGTCACGTAAAATCTTCGCCCGTAAAACCGACTTTACAGGCAACCATTTTTTTCTAAGTATTTTTATATCGGTTTAATAAATAGTTTTGTAATAAAAGTTTTCTTTTTAAGTTTGAAATGCGGTAGCTAACCTACTTTAAGTTTGGTACTTTTTGTTGGTTTTTCCGCATACAAAAGAGAAGAAACATTTTTTTATATATTTTTAGAATGACAAAGGATCTGAGCAAAAATGAATGAGTTGCAAGGTTAGTTACATTTCGAGATTGGCTTATTTTATGCTTGCTGTGAAACTATTTGATGAAAAAACTCAGTTTTACTTAGTTTTTGACTTTTTCACAGGTAATACAACTTTTTTGTATTTTTCACTACGTATGAACTAAGTATTTGGTGAAAATTTTGTTTTTCATCCATAGTGTAACGATTCCATACAAACTAGATATGTATATTCGCTTAAAATTATAAACTTCTTCCTTCTTAATAGGGTATTTGATAGTTTAAAAATAAAGTGCCAATTGTTAGCATCTATGTTTAGAATGAATATTGGCAGGGGTTTTTACTATTTTTACAAACAAAATATTCATAATTTTACTAAAAACCCATGAAAAAGATAATAGTTTTCTTATCTATTGTCACGTGACCCAAAACGCTTAGGATTGGCGGAGCCTAAAATGACGTCACACGCAAGTAAAAATCCGGTTAAAGTGACATTACATTGTATTGTTTGACGTTTAAATAACAGTCGTGTGACGTCACACACTAATAAGACGCCATGTTGTCCAAAAAAACGTTTTCGCGGCAACTTGAAAATGGATTTTTTGATTTGGATATTTTTACTAAAATACACAACAGACTGATGAATATCCACTTTTTACAGACGCCATAAATATTAGTCAATAACGTGAGATCGTTTTCTAAAACTTGTCAAATACCCTATTACTTATGACGAAAAAATTATATAATTTAATGATAATATGAATAATTAAGTAAACAAAATATCTGAGTATTGTTAATCTATAAAACTTAGATTTGTCATCAAATATAAATTGGAAGTATGTACTATGTATATACCTTGAGTATGTCATCTCGAAACCTGTTATAAGTCATTGTGCGTGAGTCATATAGTTAATTTCTGTAACTAAGACTGCGCTAAGGCTGCGAGCTAGGCGTTAGCGGAGCGGGCGGCGGCGTAGGAGGGAGGTACTGTTTTTAATCCATATAAATATAAAAAAATATACTAGTATAAAGAAATCAATTCCCCAACCAAGACCCAAGTGTCAGCCATTGCCTTATACCATACTTATCTCGTTAGACATTGTATTTTTGTTGGAATGTAAGATATACAACCTAAGATATACCTACTAGAAGAAATTCGACAGGTCCTTTATGGTCTCGGTAACATAGCGGTTAGAGCATTTGCTGTAATAGCGAAAGCGCTCGTTGACAACCAGCCTGACGCTTGAATTTTTTAGTAACTGTTTCTTATTCTTGTAGTTTAATGCAAAAATATTGATTTAAATATAGTTTAAAAAATATATATTTGTTTATACCAGGCGCAATAGATAACTTCACATTATGTAATTGTATGTCCAGTAACGAAGATTACTGATTGCATATTTTGCAGTAGGTTGTCATCATTGCTTTAAAATTATTTTTAATACACAGTGTACACACCACACCACACAAAAAAAAATATTAATCAAAATCAACACAAAAACACCGTCGATAATTACTTAGTAAGTATAAGGGATCACTATATAAAATAAATAAAATAAACTATTGCAGGCCAAATGACAATGCCAGATTCTGCCCCACCATCTACAGTAATATAAAATTTATGAAAAAATATATACGATTATATTTCTCATACTGATTTAATTATTTCTTTGTAAGACCTGCGGATACGAAATAAATATTAAAATAATGTGTACCTACTGTTTCCGTTAGGGCAAGAACAAAAACATGACATATGCGTTATGTTGCACGACACACAATAAAATATCAATCAAGTTTTTGAAAAAAATCGTTCTCATTTTTAACATTATCGATCTAATACGCATTTCGGTTATAAATATAAATAATTTATGTTTATATAGAAGTTTAAAAAATCTAGTACCTTTTATTTTTTATGCACATACACATTATAAAGTGGTGGAGTACTATGTGAAACTAAACGCCACTCTGGATTGATATCCATTTGTTTGACATTTACTTTTCTATGACTGTGGTGCGGTGCGACAAAGTGAACGAAACAAAACAAAGACGAACCGGGTGTTTTGAAAAATAATTAATACTTTTCCTTTTGAATACGGACTCGAACACGCCTTTTATACGACCTTGTCTTTGTTTTTAGGATACGGATTTATTGTTTGTCACTATATATATATATATATATTTCATTTTTAATTATAATTATATACACTAGAAGAGAACGATTTCTATGTTTGCCTGTAATTAATAAACTCGGAAATCCTCACAGGCTGATAACAATTGAAAAACAGAGGAATAGGTACCTCGAAACTACCTAATCATTAAAGGTATGAAAGCGCCTAATTAATAATTCATAGCAATTTTCATTCGGCTTAATTGCAGCTCGAGAAACGTATGATAATTGTACTCTTTATTAGTATATTATTAAAGAACCGCAACTCCCAGAGAATTTACAACTTTACTATTTTATTTCTTAATATTACAGCTATCAAATGTCATTTATCGTATTCATGTTAACCAATTTTATCGGGTGGTTCAAACCTCTATAGAACTTCTGGCATTGTCCTTTCAACCTTAGTATTGCAATATTGAATGATTGGGTTATTTTAGTTAAGTATGATTAAGCTTCAGTTCAGTGATAAGTAAAAGTAGCAGTTTTCTCTACATTGTTACGTATTAGGATGGAATAGAAATCATAATGCCAGTTGTCGCTTGACATTTCTTTATTTACTACACGGTTCAGACAGTTCTTTATTAAACACACAATACTACACTCACTGCACTCTAGACAAGCCCTTACGCAATCACACTCGAACACTTTACTTGCACCGTTAATCGCTTTACCGAGATCACGTTGAAATTCGATTGTTATGGCCTTGAAAGTAGACTTTTATCGTTTTGAAAGTAAACTGTTACTGCGCGAAGCTGAGCGCCGTTATGTACGCCAATCGACGCATTCCAGAGAAATCCAGTTTAATTGAGAGTAACCGGCGCGTATTTCAAAGCAGGTAGCATGTATGCCTTGTAAACAATTTGGCAGATGTCATTGCATTTATACTCTTACGCCGCACTGCAATGGTTCATATTCATATT